TCTGACAATGGTAAGCAATTCGAAGACATCAAATTCCAAAACTGGTGCCAAGACATGGGAATTCAGCAGAATTTCACCTCAGTAACGCACCCTCAGGTAAACGGTCAGGGGGAAGTCACAAAAAAAGCTATTCTCCGCGGACTAAAGGCGCGCCTGGACCGAGCTAAGGGACTATGGGCAGACGAGCTGCCCAGTGCATTATGGGCCTATCATACCACGGAAAAGACCGCCACAGGAGAAACCCCCTTTAACCTCACCTACGGCACCGAAGCAGTCATTCCAGCCGAGATCGAAGTTCCCTCGCTGAGACTAGGAGCGTATGATGACAGGGCAAATGAAGACAAGCTACGTACTAACCTCGACTTACTTGATGAAGTACGGAACCTCGCATGCATCAGGACCGTGGCCTACCAGCAAAGGGTAGCTCGGTACTATAACACCAAGGTCAAAAAGCGGACTCTCCGCGTTGGCGACCTGGTTCTCCGTAAGGTAATGGTGCCTGAGCCTGGTGTTGGTAAGCTCGGTCCGAACTGGGAAGGACCCTACCGAGTAAAGCGAGTACTCGGGGAAGGAACATACGAGCTCGAAACCCTGGAAGGAAACAAGTACCTCGAGCATGGAATATTGTCAACCTAAGGCAGTATTACCTATAAATAACTGAGTAGACCACGTGTCACTCTCAGAGCCTAAGGGCCAAAATGCCGAGCTAACAAAGACCTCGGCACAATAACCTAGCCGCTTCTATGACACGAACGAATTCTAAGGGTGGCTGAAGCCACTCCCCCCCCCCAGCCAAGGGGCTAAAACACCGAGCTGACCAAGGAGCTCGGCACCACAATACATAATGTATCGAGGATGCAAGCAGACCAGTAGATTCCGCGACGTTTAGCCCACCTCAGCGTACAACCAGAAGACAGTTTGGGCATATGCCTTACTATGTCAATCACCTCGATGTACGCTACAAGACAGTTCGGGCATATGCCTTACTATGTCAATCACTTCGCACACTCAACTATGATAGCTCGGATAAAACAACACTTGGAAAAGAAAAGTCAATTTCATTAACAAGTAAGTTTTGTACAATCAGCTCGACAAAAAAAAAAAAAAAAAACAACAACAACAGACTGAGCTCGCAGGCTCGGAATACAGAAAACAATCACTTTGGGGGCTCTTCATCTCCGCACGGGACCTCCTCGGGAGCTTCAGGCTTATCAGGGGCCTCTGCTTCTTCATCACCGTCCTCCTCCTCGGAATCCGGAACGTCTGTGGCTTGACGAGCTATCTCATACGTGATTTGCAAGGTGGTAATGGCGCTCGTGTCAAGCTCGGGGTATGTGTGCCTTATCAGCCACCTGTTGAGCTTGAACCCCTTGCGGTAGGCCTCCCCCAGAACGGCATCGAATTTGTCAGACTAGATGTACTCCGCAACAGCCTTGATCTTTGTCTCCTCTATGGCTTGAGTAAATATCTCAGTCTTCTCCTCGATGTCAGCCTTGAGGAACTCCACCTCGTGCAAGAGGGCCTTCTTGTTCTTTTTAAGGCCTTCCGCCTCTGCCCTGAGGGCGTCCAGCTCACCCCTCTCGCGTGCCAGCTCCGCTTTGAGGGCCTCCACATCGCCCCTTAGCACGTCCTTCTCCGCCGTCAGCACCGCAATAACGTCCCTCTGGGCCCTGGCGCCGCTCTCCAACCGGTGGATTTGCTCGCGAGCTGCCCTCAGATCGATATGAGCTACGCGGGACGACTCCTCGGCGGTTAAAGCCTGCTTCAGGTTCCTCTCGGACTGAAGAGTTAGGGCATGCACGGCGGAATTCGCCTGATAAAGAAAGTTGGTTAGTACCGAAGAAACATACATATGAAAGAAAGGGAGAAATAAGGGAGAACTTACCACCATAGTGTGGGTAGCACTTCGGGCTCTGAGTTGGGCAGGGGTGAGTAGATCGGCCCAGGCTGAGATTTCCTCGGAATAAACGGCTCATTTTCTTTTTCGAAGGCTGCACTGGGGGACCAAGATACTCCGGCCCCCATTCGGGCTCCCCGAGCTGGAGATCACCGTCTTGGCTGTACGAATGGGCTCAACGGAGACCTCAGTTGCTACGTCGGCAACCCCGGTGATAATCTCGGGCTTAGCTACTGCCTTCTTAGCGGGCTTGGTCGAGGTCTCGGGCTCCCGAGGTGGTACGGACTCCTCCTAGTCAATGATCGGAGGAGCACCAGGGAGCTCGGGCTCAGAAGGGGGAGCTGGTGGAAGCTTGGACTCGGGAGTGGGGGCCGGCGGTGACTCGATGCGAGCTCTCTTAACAGACCGCTTCTTCCTCCCCTTCATATGCTTGAAGAGTCTATCCACCTTAAGCTTATCTGCTTCCATGGGACCTGCAACAGAGCTCGGCATTAGTACTCGAGTAAAAGAAAAGGAAGGTGCAAGCCAAACAACTAAGGTACTAAGACTACCTACCCGGGCTCAAGCCGGCCTGGATGAGCTTGCTCTCGGTGATGTAATCCTTATAACTACACCCGATCTCAGCCCACGACTGGAATGTCTCCCTTGTCTTCTTGTCAAGGATGATGCCGGGGTCTTGGATAGCCGCCCTCCAGTGAGTGGGGAAGGGCCACCCCGTGGGGTTCCGGACTACGAAGTAGTCCTACTTCCAAGCCGGGATCTTGCTCGGGAGCTTGTGCATCAACTTGAAGCCCGGGCGAGGGGACAAGTAATAAGCCCTCCTGTGCTCGGAGAGAACGCATGAAGCGCTCTTCTTTATTGTGAGGATGGAACAGAATATGTCCAAGTTTAGGGGGAGGACATACTCGTAGCAGAGGGAGATTGTCCCGACCATGTTACGGACCGAGTTCGGGTGGAGCTGGTCTATCGTAACGTTGAAATGGTTAAGGACCTCCACTATAAGTGGATGGAAGGGAAGGCGGAGCCCGACTATGGGCTGCTCTCGGAAGATCACGACCTCGTCAGGGCCGTGCTCCCATGGGAAGTTACCCGCAGGTAAACTGTAGGTGTACTCCCTAGGCAGATTGTACTGCCGAATAAGGTAGCGGAGCCTCTCCAGGGTCATAGTAGAAGGTTCGAACCTGTCCGGCATCCGACCTCGATGAGAGGTTGACGCCAATTTACCCGAGGCCTCCCGCGCCTCGGGGAACTAGACTCTAGCAGGGTCACCCTGAGCCGAGGTACCCACCTCAGGCTCATCTAGCTGACTATCGAAGGAAGACATAACTAACAGAATTGAAGAGGAGCTAGGGTGACTCACCAAAGAAAGATGAACCGGACTAGGAAGAACTGACCCGAGCTGGAGGCTTTGGACGCGAGCTCAAGACTATGGCTGAGGATTTATGGCAAAGGAAAAATGGTCAGGACCCCCGCTATTTATAGACACTGTACGCGGGCATCGACGGTTGAGATCGAAATGCTCTGATAGTCCTCATGAAAACCGACTGCACGACCCTCGAGGCAAAATCAGTTTAACGCGTTTTTTGACGTCCCCGGAGTCCATAAGTCACGTGACATCCGCACGTAGACCGTACATGGCCTGAGCTACGCCTGGTAGAACCGAGCAGAGAACTGGTCCAACCGATGAGTTGGCGGACAAGAAAGCTTAGGCCCCAAGCCAAATCCACCCAGCAGACCGCGGGCTCCCCGCAGTTGGGTCAGAACCCCAGCACAGGGAGTGGGGGGCAATTGATGTAGGGTGATCTGGCCCGACCTCGTAGCACGGGGATACGTGGACATGACCAGGCATAAGTGACAACTTAGCGCGATAGCTTGGCCACAACTGGGCGTAACAAGCTCGCCGAGGCCCGACCAAACGACTCGGAGGGTGTGCCAACTCGCCGAGAAGCAAGGCCAAGCTCGCCCCAAGCCTGAGGGTGGAGCGCCCCGAGCTCCCTCCATGCAAAGGGACCCGAGCTCCCCTTGAGACCCGAGATCCTCCTAAGGGGCTCCGAGCTCCCCCTCCCTAAGAAGGGAGCACCCCAGCTTTTGGCTAAGTGTCCCAAGGGAGAAACACCTCGGGACAGCACCGTCGAGACTTCTGTTCGTACTTGCTTAAGGCTCGCCTCCAGTGCGAGCACCTCGGCGTACCTCGGCACCTCGGTGCAAGGCAACCCAGCCTCAGGCGGTTCGGTGCAATCTAGCTCGGCAGCCTGTAGGGAAGATCCGCCTAACATCCGTACCTATCGGATCTGGTGGCAGCGCCCACATCTCTTGCCAGGCAGTGTCGTGCCTGCCATCTCTGAAAAGCATGGCACGCCTGACGAGTCCGTACCCTGCAACAGCAGCCTGCACCTGCCACCTCAGCCCTGGCAGTAACGGCTAGGGCAGTGGCGGTTATGCCTGATGTGACTGAGCTCCGGTATAAGAGGACCCCGACCCTCACGAAGCAAAGGTATTTGAAGCTAGCACTTTCAGCACTCTTAAATCTCTGTGTTTTCCTTGAGTTTTCCTCAGAGTTCTAACATAGCCATCAGAGTGTTCCCGCCAGAAGAGCTCCCCGGGAACCCTTCATGTTCCTCTTCTTCTCAGGTACCGTCTGTCACAGCTAGGATCCAAGTTTCAGCCAGCTAGGAGTGTCCAGATCGTGCTGCATCAGGACTGTTCATTTTGTGTCAATGTTTGGGTGGTTGATAAAGAGAACTAGATGACACTCAAAGGGTATTTGTGTCTTCTCAAATAGCACGTAACAGCTGACTAATGGGCTGGTTAATGGCAGGTACTAGATTGGCAAGTTTTGAAAGTTTGGATGTTAAATTATGGCATTTTAAAGTTTGAAGATAAAAGTGGCACTAGACCCAAATTACAGGGTACTAATCTTTAATTTTCCCTAAATAATATTACTTTCACGCGAATCCATTAAAAAAGTAAGGAAGGGGCAAATTGCGGAAGCGGAAATCTAGAAATTGAGGGAGTTCTTTGTGGCAAAACAAACCCCTGAGTACAAGGTGGTGGTTTGTACTTAACCGTTTTTGAAATCAAAACACTCTTCATCTCCACCAAGTAAGTGCCAAATGCCAGACCATTTCCGGCAGAAAACAATCTCTTAATTTCCTGTGTAGCAACATTTTACGTATACATGTCCATGATGAATTGATTCAATTGAAGAGAGAGATCTACAGAGAGAGGACAATAAGCAAACGCATAAGAGAAAAGAGATCACTTCAGGATTCAGCCGATTCCATCTAGAGGATGGAGCATCCGCCACCGTTATAGGGTCCATAGCTGACAGCAACAAGTTGGCAGTCATTGCAACAGGGAGGGAGTGGTTTCTGATCATCAGGTTTCTTAGGTGATTCAGGCTTTGTAGGGGGTCCAACACTAATAACCTCAGCCACCTTCCCCACCTTCGTTATTTGCTTTACAACGTCGACTGGATCAACCAGGCCAGTTACAGACACCGTTTGCTTCTCGCTATCCACAGACACCTCATCTATATCTGTAAACCAAAGAAAGAAAGAATAATCAAATTTCTCATTTAGTATTAGGCTATTAGCTAGCATCACTGAATTTGAATTGTGAAGCTGCTAATTAAGTTCACCCTTTGTCAATAAGATTCAGTTAAAGGATAACCCATTTGGTTTAATTCTTGCCAGATTAGAGAAGGATTTGGCCTGAGAGGTTTTAGTGATCAATTACCCATTAGCTTTGTAACGGCTTTGAGTACTTCTGTCTTGCATATTTGGCAGTTGATGTTGACTTTGATCACAGATTTCTGTGTTAATAATGAAGAGATAAGACAGAGGTTAAGCAAAACAAAGGAAACCAGTGACAGATAGTGGAATTGCACCAAGGCTGTGTCTGCTTTGATAGGGATAGGAAGGGAAATCTGTACAAGCTAGCCTTGTACAGGTTTCCCTATCTTTTCTTTCAAACCAAACACATCCTAAATTTAGCTGATTGTAGATGGAGAAAGAGAAACAATTAACCAGCTGGAGATGACTCCCTTACCTTGACACCCATGGTGGCACAAGGAACAATGTAAATCCAATCAACTAATCTTTCTCTCTCCAAGTGCAGGAGTACAACCAGAGATATCTTTACCCTTATATATATAACACGAGGACCTTGACTTCGAGTCTTTAAACAAATCAAGTCTATTCCCAAGAAACTGAGTAAAACTCCAGGAAATCAGTTGTTTAATAAGTGAAAGGAACAAGGAAAAATCCTTTAAACCTTCCTATGTCATCCCTTGTTGACTGACATGGCAGAGAACAAAAATCATCCTCGATCCACTTCACCTGTTTTAATTTGTCCTTCGTGGCTATCGGGATGCGATGGTCAACGTTTTTCTAAATCCCGATGGTGCCCCTATTTGGTTTGAAAGAATCAACACCAAATATCCCTTCTGTCCAATACCAACAAAACATGTTCCAAACCCCTACCAACATTATTTGACACCACCGCACATCTCACTATGAAACTGGGACTCAGCATGTATGAGATGTGTAGTATCTAATCATGTTGTTGGTAGGGGGGTTGGAATGTGTTTTGTTGGAAGGTATTATTAATATTTCACTCATTTTATTGTCAAAATTAGAAGTTGAAACTTAGAATAGGAGATGTAAAAAGTTAGGTTTAAACTTTAAAGTGAGGGAAGGTCTTAGTATTTTTGTTAGAAACATATAGGGAGGTTCAAGGATTTTTCATAGATTAAAATCCAAAAAAATGGGGAAATTTCCATGAATTGAACCGGTGGGCCCTAGATACCATGGATTGAGCTCACCAGAGAAGTTAATAACCCAAAATCAAGGAATTCCACTTATGATGCCCAAAAAAAAGCCCAACAACCATAGATCCTGGAATCAATGGTATATATTTATTGTTACTTTACGTTAACTTCATTTAAATTTTCATAAAAACGTGAGTGAGTAGAATAAGCATATTTTAAACGGCATGGGTCAATGATGTGGAAGTTGCGATGCCATGTCGTGGATGGTTCTCGAGCCAAGGGCGATGGCGCAAGTGGAAGCGCAAGTGGAAGCGTACCTAGGAAATGTCATAGTCCTCTCTATGATATTCCCATTATGTGATGATGCATGGTGTATTGGTTTCAATTCAACAAACTCGGTGAGTCAACGTGAAAAACCCATTTCTCTGTTTAGTATTGGACTTTAAGGCTGTGTTTGATTTGAAGGAAAAAATAGAGAAAGGAAAGAAAAGTTAAGGAAATCTTAACAAACCTTTGTATGAATTTTCCTACTTTTTCTTTCTTTTCCCCACCTTTTCCTTCAAACCAAACTTAATGCTTGGGGGATTAGTATTAGGTGGAACTTGATGACAATGCATGGGTAGGTATGAGTATTAATATATTAAAGAGAGTTGAAAAGTTTATGAGTGGTGACACTACATATGGTTAAATTTTGAAGTCATCATATTGTATCATACTCTCCAGAGATTCATTCTTTCTCAATTATATGTGGTCCTCAGATTTGGTGATGAAAATTGAAAAAAAAAAAAAAAGGAGTTTATTTGTGCTTTTTACAACAATATTAAACTCTTATTGGGCCTATTTGTTTTCTAGATTTTGAAGGGGAAAAGTCAGTCAATGAAATTTTGGTTCTCATTGACCAAGATATCTATTTTTTTTTCTTGGTAAGTGATATCCATCTCCAGACAATGACTTTCCCATCTGGGAAGAAATTGCCAACACATAATGAAATAAAATTGTCTCAATCCTTTGATAATAGTTTTTTACGACTCAAATCATCACTGTTTTATTTATTTGGAAAACAAAAGAACATAAACAAATACACTTAAGTAAATGGCCAACTGAAAAATGAAAGAAAGGCCTATTTGTACAAGGAAAAGAGTATTTCTCTAGGTCTCTTGGGGGACATTTAGTGACAAGGATGCTAATGGGCCGGGCTGCGTTAGGTCGGGTTGAACCTAATCTAATCCGTACACAATAAATTGTTGAACCCTCAAGTGGGGTGGGTTATAGGTGCAACTTGGTTGAATTTGGGTTGAGAATTTGTTTTGAATGCACCCGATCCAAAACCCAAACCTAATACAATGTAAATTCTTAATTTGTATCATTTACCCAATTTGCACCCTAGCTTATTTATATAATATTTATACATGTAATATGAAGACATATAGGGTTTGGTTTGGATCAGATTAACCAAGCCCTCAACCTTAGCCTGACGTTCAAATATGTTCAGTCCAACCCAAATAGATTGGGTCATGAGGCTCAAAAATCAGCTACTTCCACTTAGAGTAACAGTGGGCTAGAACCATGAATCACAACCCTTGATGTGTTGATGTGGCTCCACTTGAATCGGATGGAGTGACGTAAAATGGGACCATTGCAAGGCATCAACGGCCACGATTTTACCGTTTTTCATTTTTTCTCCGTCATGAAGGGGATGACATTGTTTTTGTCTTTTAGTGGATAAAATAACATTACCATCCCTCTCCCTATTCCAAACCCCCTTCATAATTTTCTTTTTTTTTTATTTCTTATTTTTTTAATTCCACATAATTACCCATTAAACCAATAAGGAAATAACGTACACTTAACTATTTCTTACATTTTTAATTACCCACATAATAGCTTTAATAATATTCATATTATAAACAATACTGTATTTTTACAAAAAGTCATCATGAAAATATATAGTAATAATATAAATTATACTTTTATTAAACAATTCAAGTTAAGTGTTATTCAAATAATAAAAAATTAACATTAAAAAATCAAAAATTATTTAAATATTTCAATAACTAAATGTCTTAAATAACAAAAATTTAAAAATAGCTAAATAATTATATAATAAAATATTTGATATTACATAGTAACATTAAAATAAATAAAATTCAAACAATAAAAAATTTAAAATATTTTACATATTATTTAAATATATAAACAATGAAATATTTAACATGACTAAATTTTAAATAGTTAAAATAAATAAATTATTTAATAAATTTAAATAGATCTTAAAAGTAGAAAATTAAGTATAATAGATTTCATAATACTCATATTAATAATAATTTAATATTTTCCAAAATTAATGATGAATTATGTAATAATAGTACTAATTATCATTCTACAAATTATTAAATTGAATAAATAACTAGAATTTTAAAATTTTACATAAAAATATTATTTAAATAACTAAATAGTATTGTAAATAACTAATTTCACTTATATCAATTTGTAATTATAGAAAATAACTTTCAAACAAATAATATTTGTTAGTAATAATTTTACAATAATAGTGTATATTCATTATATGTTTTTATGTACTAAATATAATATTTATTTTATTTTCAGTATTATTTATTATATTTTTTATAAATATGTTTTCAATAATTATTTATGAATCTATTTTTGTTTTGTTATTTAACAGTAAATTGTCAATAATTATTAGAGATTAAACAACTATTGTTTATCTTTTGAAATTTAAGTTATCATATTTATTGTATTTTTGTTATAAATTTATTTTTAGTAATTATGTATTTTTATATTTTATTGATTAATATTTATTAGAGATTAAACTATTTATTGACTAATTTAATATATTTTTAGTATTTATTATATTTTTATTTGGTAACTTTTGTATTTTCATTATAAATTTATTTTCAATATTTGTGTATTTTTGCTACAAAATTTTCAATAATTATTAGAGACTAAACTGTTGTTATTTATTAGAGATTAGACTATTAATTTATCTTAAATTATGAGTGTTCAAAGATTGGTTCATTTCAATTGTAGGCTATTTCCCCAACCAAATCGACCTAGTTTGGTCAAGAGTTTATCACTTGAAATTGATTGACCACTAATGAAAGCCTGCCAACTCGGATTGCATCAGTTTGGGTCTATTTTCGGTTTGGTTTGTTTGTTCAAAAGATTTAAACTTAGAAATTAAATTTAAATTTAATAAGCTATAGTGGTATTATTAAAAAATAAATTAAAAAATTAAATTTATGATATAAAATATTTTAAACTAAGAAATATGGAAATTTTCCCACTATCTAATATTAAAAAATTGTATTTAAAATATAAAATTTAAATATATATCTATGGTTGGTCCGTATTTTCATGATAAATTTATTTTCAATAATTGTGTATTTTTGCTATAAATTGTCAATAATTATCGGAGATTAAACTATTGATATTTATTATATATTAAACTATTAATTTAGTTGAAATTAGGAATGCTCAAGGAATGGTTCAGTTCAATTGCAAGTTGTTTCCCCAACCAAATTAATCAACCTGGTTAGGTCAGGAGGTTGTCACCCAAAACTGATTGGCCATTAGTGGAAACCCGCCAATTCGGGTTGTATTAGTTTGAGTCTATTTTCAGCTTGGTTTGTTTGTTCAAAAGATATAAACTTAAAAATTAAATTTAAGTTTAATAAATTATAGTGGTATTATTAAAAAATAAATTAAAAATTTGAATTTATGATATAAAATATTTTAGACTAAGAAATATGGGAATTTTCCCATTTTCTCGTATTAAAAAAATTATATTTAAAATATAAAATATTAATCTATATCTATGTCTAGGTCAATTCAGTTGTAGTCGGTTTACAAATAGCCAAATCGAAACTGACCTAACTTAGTCGAACTGGAAAATTACTAAACCAAAGCCGATCGAAAATATTAGAAAACCGACAAGTTCAGGTCGAGTTTGATTAGATTGGTTATTAAAAAGTTAAAATATAAAATAATTATATACTCTTATATATTTCTATTGTTTAACTTTCACTTAACAAAGTCCATGCATCGCATGACTCCTCGCTAGTAAAATATACGGGAGTATAGTTATCAATCCAACACGCGATCTAGCCATAAAGGAAGCTAACAACCTACTTTATGACTCATTCATTGAAAGACAAAGCAATAAGATTTTGAGTTTAGCCTCTAACTGAATGACTTATTTTCCTCTTAATAGTTAAATAACAAAGTAGTCTAAGATGTAATAATAGCAGTCAACCCAACTCTAACTTAGAACTTACTAAAAGACAAAACAATAAACCATTTAGTTAAGCCATTTCAGCATTTTTCCAATACATGCAG